TGAAGGACAGGGGTTCATAAGGTTTATCAAAAAGGATAAAAACATTTTTAGTGTTAAAACTTTCCTTACATGGCATTCTGAAAAATGATGCCCCCTAATGATTGCATACAAGCAAGCAGGGGGGCCCTTCGGTGCCAAAGTAGGAGTTTTAATGGGTGTGTCAGGAATTAGAGTGACACAATTTCTTTGACTGACAGACTTAGGCTTAAAGAAACCATGATAGTTAAAAATCTTTACTTTCTTAATTCTCAAGAAACTGCACTGCAGCTGGTAACAACTGTTAGCTAGTATGCTACATAAGGCTAAAACACACTTTAAAACAGAAATATTTTTTATTTTCTATAAATTTAATTTAGCTTAACTGCAAACTCCCACCTTGCTGCCAACACACAGATACTTGTAAATGCTAAAAACTATCATTATCATTACAATCTGCCATTAATTTAAATTCAGCTACTTTTTATACCAGACCATACAACGTTTTTTTGTACAGAGCTTTAAAAGCAACACATAGTTGCCCCAAGAAGAAAAAGTATAAAAAGACAATAAATTTAAAAAAAGTTCATGTAACTCTAACCTGGTCAGGCTCAGTTTTTTGTTCTAAAACAGATCAGAGAGTCTTACAATGTATAAAAAAATCGAAAAGTAAACTGTACAGTGTTTCTGAGTAAGATTTCTAACATCAACTAAAGGAGCCCACTTCATATATAGAAGCAGATTGTTCCAAAGCTTTGAACAACAGTTTGTGCAAAGCTGTTTGAACGTACCAACTTCCATCCAGTCTGTACTGGATCAGTGTAGTTCTAGAAATATGGTCCAGTTAAAGCTCTGTGTTCCTACCTGTGGCTTTACAGTCGATCACTGTTATGGTACACCCATATCCAATGATAGGAATACCCAGAACGTTTGGACATGCCCAGTCAGAATGTAGTTCATTGGGTTGGTGTGACCATTACACGAATTGAACTTTGAAGAACCTCAGCTGCAGACAGGCACACCAAGCTAGCCTTTCACAAACTTTCAGAAGTTACAGCACCCATAGCCATCCTCTGTGCTACTCCAGGCATTAACCGGCACTGTAGAAAGCAAAAAGTGATCTAAAAATGTGTAAATATTTCTTGAATTTTCTCTTAATTTTAGCAGGTAAATTAGATGATCAGCTGATGGAATCAGTGTTTTTTGTAATGACTCAGAACAGAGGGACCCAGTATTCAGGCAAGACAGACAGTGGGATACCTTAAAAATGTTTATTAAAGAAAACAGGTTTGTGACAACAGCTGCTAGGAGGCCTGAGGCTGGAAACTCTGGAGAAAAGAAACACATGTTAGTGACCTGAAGGCAGGAGTCACTTCCCTGGTTTAAAGTTCAGTCCGTGCCCAGAAAAAGAGGTTGATACCAGCCAGTCAGCTGACTAAATACAGTGGTTGCCACACAGAGAGTTCCAGATGCCTAAGCCTTGAAGGACAAAGAACTGACAGGAGATCAGATCTGAGCAGTTAATGGAGGAACGCAGAATAATCCAGAGGGTGAAGTCAAGAGCCAGATTTAGATTCGTTCCACAACAGGATCCACTGGAATCCAAAAACAGGTCAGGCAAACAGATCAGAACTGGGGCAGGTTTGCTCAGAGTTAAATGATCAAAATTATCTAATCTGCTCAAAAAAGAGAAAATACACTTATTCCAAGAAAAGGTTATTCCTGATTTTATTTTCTTGCAGTGTAATTGTATAAGCAGATTTAGTGACAACAATCAGTTAGAAAATGACATCTGCAGAGAACCAAACCCAACAAAATTACCATCTAAGTTTATACTATTATACTTTAATTTCTGTAATTAATTCAACCGCAACATGATTTGACCAATCAGAGCTCTGATAAACCCCTTTCTATTGTACCCTTTCTATTGTACAGTGTTGTTTTGGATAGCCATCTTAGATTTAGTCTTAGTTTAGTCTTCAGGAAAAAAAACTATTATTATTCTCAGTCACATTTTAGTCATTACGATATGTGATATGTGATATGTGTTTTAGTCGGTTATAGTCGACTAAAATGTAGTCAGTTTTAGTCTACTAGTTTTAGTCAGTTTTATGTTCCAAAAATCAGTTAACCTTTACAATTTTGAATAACAGCCAGATTATTTACCAAACTGACAACTCTTGCCTAGATACTACAATTGCTGGGTATAGAATGCTGTCATGCAGTTCATCATTGCTGTCAGGCAGAAAACTTTGATTTATAGAATTCAAATAAGCTTTTTAGAGAATTTCTGCCATACTTTATACAAAAGTGAGTCACGAAAATTTTGAAAATAGCAGTTCAACATATCATATAGCAGGCAGACAAGATAACATAATGTGCAATAAAGAATTGATTTTAGACATATAAGGTTTCCATCCCAAAGCCGATACATTCTCATCTACTATAAATTATGCATTACACACAGATGAATAAATTCTTCATTGCTCCAAAAAAGCAAATAACAATATAGAGAGAACCTACATAATTCCCTTCTAATGCCATGACAATCCAGACCTAAATTGAATGAAAATGCTAACTAGAATGTTGAAATATTTAAAGGAAACAGAAAAAAGGTTTTAATGGCAATACAAGGAAACATTTACATCATATTTAAATAGGTAGAAACGAGAACTATGAGAAATAAATATTCAAAGATTTATGTACCTTTTCACCTGGCTCTTTATCCAAAAAGAAACTGTAAGCAATTAAATATTTTCTTTGGATATTAGGGATTCCTTTTGTTAGACATTAAAAAATGTTTAGCATCCCCTCTTGTGAGCTGGAAGACATAAAATCTTGATAGTTGGACAAAGGGATTTTTTATGCTTGGCAGAGGATGATCAGCCACATATAGTTTATTAAGTAGCGAGGGCAGGAGGAGCTGAGAGTGAACCAACAGTGTGGAGCGTAAAGCACAGTAGGAGGTACGCGGGCACAAAGATACATTTCAGCACAAGCACGGCTGGAAAAGCAGAGTTTGTCAGAGTACAGCGTGCTGCGCCAGACTATTCCAGGTTATTTTCTCCCCTGCCGCTGCTGTTATGATCCATCTGTAGTCATGCAGAATGTGCACCGCTGCACAGCAGGTGGGCTGCGTGACCAAACAAGGCCCTTGTTTAACAGATTACAACATAATGATGCATTTTAAATGTGTGACCGGCCACCGGCTAACATTTTATTTAGTCTCGTCTCGTTGACAAAAACTCACACCCATGAGTCGTGAAGTTTTCATCAACAAAGATCTACGTTTAGCTTGTCAGTTTTCGTTATCTTCATGAAAAAAGCAGCGTCAACTAAATAATTTCATCATTGTCATCATTAACGAAACCAATGCTGCTAATGTAACGCATTGATATACTGTGTACTTCAAGGTATAACGTGACATGATGTTCAAAGAGTTTAAAGGATCTGAATACATTTGCAAGGTATTGTATCATATCTCTCATCTACAAAAATAAGTTCCTTATACTTATATTAGTCTTTAGACGCAGACACATGCCCCAGTCTGACCTATAGCATGTTTAGGTAAGATAAGAAACATCGTCTGAAAGACTCCATATTGGTTCAGAGACGACCAGACACACAAATACCCATTTAAGTCAAAAGTTAGACCTTTGACTATTGTGAATTTACATGCATTTGCATGAAGTCTCTACATGAAACCAAAATACATAACAGACGTGTGTCCTCCCTCCATTCTTGTTCTCATAGTCTCGCCCAAGCTCCTTAATTAACAACATAATATGGAATCATTGAAATCACCACTAATATTTCTACTTAGAGAAATCTCCCTCATAAAAATATTACATCAAAAATATATTAAATAACCTGTATTTTAAAGAAACATTTACATTTTATAAAAACCTTAGGAACCAGCATTTTCAGTAATTAGGCAAAGGTTCCCTTAAGATGTTTACATTTATGAAAAGTGCAATACTGACCCTCCCCCAGGGCACATTTACACAGGGGAACAGATTTATCTTACCCTGCACTTTTACCCACGCTGCATGTTGGTGCTTCACACTGAAAATGGAAGGAAGGAAGGAAGGAAGGAAGGAAGGAAGGAAGGAAGGAAGGAAGGAAGGAAGGAAGGAAGGAAGGAAATATTGCACGCTTGATGACTTGTATACCTGTGTTATAAAGGACATCTTCCAGTGTTAAATTATGACCATGTGTCAGAAACCAGCTGATCATCAGAGCACAGGCGAACACAACAAGCATAGATGTGATTTCTCTTCCAGGCAGTTCTTTGACCCTGTTTTCACCACCTGGTTTTAAAGACCTTGGCTGCCAGGCCCCAGTACCCTCCTCTCTCCCACCAATCAGTGCTTTCATCGGCAACAAAGACAGTGATTCCTTCTCTACATTCACCTGCCCTGGTCTGACCCAGTCCTGACCAATCCAGAGACCACAAACACTTCGGTCAGGTGACCAATGTGGCTCTATGTACTGACCAAGCTGTTTGACATGCATGTGTGCTTTGTAGGTTCCCTAGCATGCTGCTTTGTGTTGGACACGCCACACCTCAACATGCAAAAGAAAGCAAGGAGTGGTCAAGCTGAATGACTGGAAGGTACATACGTTGATATGGCATCAGGGGGCCAGAGAACGAGTCCTCTATCATTATGAAAAATGGTGGCTCAGTTTAGAAGTAATTATTTATTGAAATAACAGGTACTAGCCCTTCATTTTAAACTTCAATACCTAAAAGACCTCACGTTTGAAAATTAAATCTACAGAATAAATTTAGCATATAGGCCCTGGCTACACCTCTCTAGATATTTCCTTTAAAGCAGATATTTTTTTCTCTAGTTTGAAAAAAAAAAAGCGCTTTGCAGCCTGTAGTATTCTCTAACAAGATGCTGTAATGCCTACTATGGCCCCAGTGGGTGAAAAGGACAATAATATTACATCGGAATTCAAAAGCAGAAGATCTAAAATTTACATGAATATATATAAAGGTGACATTTTCTTTGCTAAATTAAAAAAAAAAAGTTTAGCGACAAAACAATGAGATAGCAAAGTTTTTTGGAGTATGCATTTACCCTTCTGCCACTAGTTGTTTTACAGAGGCCGATTTTATATGCAGCGCCATCTACTGTTAAAAGGGAGAACCGCGATGTGTAGCGTGCAGCTAAAGTCTAGTGGGAAACTTATCAACAAGACTCCCCTCTAGACATTTAAGGAAAAAAGTTTTCATTTTACTATTTTTACTTAAGAACTTGCCAGTTAAACATGGCTTTTAAGGTTATATGGGTCATTTTTCAGCAAAATTCTGTGAGTGTTAAGGTCTGACCTAGGTTAAGAATTCAAATAATTGCTAAATAAACGTAAAGTCGTATAACTTATCCAGCTTACATTTGAAGTCTTACAAAGAGACAGAGGATGAAAAAAGGACAGAAATTATTTCACTCTTGAGATTTCTAGCACAGACGTGATTGTGAGTATGCAAAAAAGTCGGGCACTATGTCATAATTTTTAAAAATGACCAAACATTCAGTCCATGTCGAAAGACCAAATTCTTTTTTGTTTAAAAAGGAAAGCTTTTCTTAGAAAACATATTTTTTAATAATCACCAAAAACTCAGGCTGTATTTAAAGGGGAGGCATTAGCTGAGAATAAAATATGTGTTTGGCAAAATATCTGATTTGTGTGGATGGGCCTTTTGTTAATATACATCTAAGTTGTCACAGGACTGTGGGCTAATTTGTGTTGAAAGTAAAAGGGTATTTTCCATTACCCTTAATGACTTTAAAATAATAGTAGTAAAAATCTCCCACAGAGCCACACAAGACGAGAGAAATGTTTTCACATAATCATCATAGAGGCTTAACCATGATCATTTAATGTAATCAAGACTAACTGTAGCTAATAAACTCTTTCCAATTGTTAAAAAACATCGGGCCTCTCATAAAGGTCAGAGATCTTGTGCCATATCATTATAATGACTCATTTTTATATATAAAACAATAAAAAAACAATAAAAAAATGGATAATGAGCCAACTCAGTCTCTGAGTCCTGGACAAGAGACTAAAAAAAACAACTTTTTTTTTTCATACATTCTGTATCAGAGATGGAGAACGGAAAGAAGGACTTTGAGGCTTGCAAAATATGGAAGCTTGTGTTTTTGTTACGCAATGAACTTGTATGACCTTTGTTAAACGTATGCCAACTTAATAATTCAATGTGTCTATGGATTTTATTCATTTTTGAAGAGGAATTTGAGAATTCTGAGTAATAAACAAAACCACAATTACATCTGCGGATGGTTTTGGGGGTGGGGGGTGGGGGGTGGGGTTAAGACCTATTTCCACAACAGACCTCATAGGTCCAATATGCAGATAGGATGAAGGGCGTCTCTAAATTTCTGATGGATTAATCAGATTAGTAGCATTTCTTTTTTTAGGCATTTCCAAGAGAAGCTGATCCAACTTTTTTTCTACAGGATTGTGGATAAAGGTTGTGCTCAAAGATCAGATGCTAAATTCCATGGAACCAACCAGTAAAAATAGAAGTCAACGTAAAAACAAATACCTTGTTTTACTAGATTTCTGTGATTTTGGTATGTCCAACATTTGATAGAGTAATAAAGAATGTGCCATTTTTTGATGAGGTTATTGGAAAATAATTAGCCTAAAACTTGTCTACCTTTTCGTTCTGCTGTGGTGATTTTTGTAAAAGCTATATCTAATTAAAATTAGTTCACTTTTAGGCTAATGTTTCATTGTCTCTGGGGATTTTTTTGTAGTCCTAATTTAAAGGCAACAAGGAATACTGTGCTGAAACATTTAGCCATACCAAATGGGTAAAAAGTCAATATCAACAAGGTTGTTCTTGGATTTTAGAGTTGATGACTCTCTGCACATTAATTGTCATGTGATAAAACATCAGTTTGCACTTTTCAACAGTTTTACATTTAATTACATGTGACAGGAATTTATTGTAAATTCATGCTAGCAGGTTTGCTAAAGCATGAACCTCCCCAAAGTGAGCAACTTTTCTCTGTTAGCTTACACTCCCAAAGCTGTAGAGTTTAGCACTAACTCACAGAGTAAATTCGAAAAAAGGAAAATGCAAGAAGTACTGTCACCACTGATCCATCCCGGAAGCATGATCTGTACCATCAACTCATTTGCAAATGCACATCCAGATAAAAATCCGGGTCACCCTTGGTTTTTTTTAGTAAAAAAGACCTAAATTATGTTTTTCCCTCCCCGAAAATAGTAAACATTCTGTGCCCGATCTGCACCGGAAATGGGATCCTATGCTTCTTCCAGGAGCTAACTTTTTCAGCTTTGGATTTAAACATAAATAAAGTCTTTTTGAGTTTAAGGTTTCCCTTTTCTGTTAAAATTATGGTATATAGTAAGCAATATAAAGAAAGAAACAACTAAAATGCAGATAAACGTAAATATGTAAATGCAGATAAAAAAAAAGGATCAAAAATTGTCTCCGAAAAGTCATAAAACATTTTTTTAAAGACGTGTAATAGCATTCTTATGTGAGTTAAGGATCGAAATAAGTAATTTTAGTACCATAATTATTATTTTTCGACACCCGGAAGTATGTCTGGTTGCGGATGCGGGGATGGATCGGGTAGTGACAAGCACACCACACTAACGCATTGGGTATTTGAATTAAATACCAAAAACTAGTATGACTTTACCTGAGTCGGTCAGACAAGCTAGTCAGCTGGGTGCCTACTTGAATAAATTTTCTTAGCTCATGAAATATATTTGAAAGCTTTTCATTTTCAGAAACCAAAAGCTTGCAGAAAATGTTGTGCCAAATTTCAGCTGCCGACCTGCGACAGAACAATAATTTGCAATAAATATTTTTAAGCTAGAAGTTATTAGAAGCTTAAATTGTTGACATTTTAACTCCTCACAGAGCCAGGATGAGAATAAATGAGCACTCAGCCATATGGTACATTCAGTTTGCATTCAGACATCAGGAATAACATATTCTATGTGGGGAAAATCAATATATATTTTATTATTCAACAGGTACAAGATGAAAACTATTATGTGAGCTTCTAATATGATGAGGTTGGTACAGTATCACTCCCTTTTCATTTGTGACTCATGTTGTGTAAAGAAGAATCTTTGTTGAGAAAAAGTCAAGGCTACTAGTGTTACTAGAGTGCTAATGCTGCAATATGTTACTATGTGGATGTATGAACATGTATGTGAGAAATAAGAATTATTTGATCAACTGTTACAGTGACTTTATATAAAAATCTTTCCAAGCATTCGGGTTGTTGTTTATTTCTAGGTCATAGAGTTTCATTTTTAAGAACAGAAATCATTTTTAGAATTTGGCCACAAGGGGGCGATAGTCTTTAACAGAGCAGATTTTATGTATTTAATGTATAACCAAAATGGAGTTTGGCAGAATTTTCTAAAACAGCAAAAAAAAAAAATAAAAATAAAAATAAAAAAATATGCTGAACTCAATCAATGATCAAAGGAATTTTGCAACCAAGGCCTATTTCTCTGAAATTATGTTCAAACATATAAATGTACATACATTGTTTAGATTGACATTTATCTTTCTACCCCTTTTATAGAATAGAATAGAAAGTCCCTTTATTGTCCTACAATGGGGAAATTCTGGTGCTTACAGCAGTAAAAAACAACAACAACAAACAAACAAATGTGGACCTTGGAAAAATGTATAAGAGTAACATAATAGTTAAAGGATAAACAATAAAATACTGTACTGTAAAGTGTTTTAACAATATATAACACTCTGCACCTGGAGAATAAATAACCAATATACAGCTATGGACATTTTTACAATAAAGTATTGTATTGTGTTGGGGCAGCAGAGGTTAGTTTTCCCAGCATGCACTGGGCAGCATGTTCAGTATTAGATGCTGCCAGTTATTGTAATCAATCTTTTCCAGGTTATTAAGTTACATATTTTATTTGTTACTGTTCTTATGTCTGTTATATCATCAGTTTATGTTATAATCTTAAGTACTTGTTGTCCCTCCATGAGTCTGGAAGGGATGTCCGTTAATCAGTTCTCCTCAGAAGTTCTAAATTTGTATATGTGCGTTGTTCGGGGTACGGAAACTATCGCTAAAGTGACATCATCACCCTATTAACTACAGTTGATTGGTAAACAGTGGGGGCTGTATTCAACTCTTTACTTCTTGAGGGTACTCTTTGATGAATAATATAAACAGCTTTGAAAAGTTCGGTATTAATTATCTTCCTTAGTGTCAACAGTCACGGTTGCTAAGCGGCAGAGCATACAGCGGTAAAAGCCGCTGTATGCTAGATCTGTTTGAACTCACAGCCTTATTTTCACAGACTTTGAAGGATTCAGTCCAAGGACAGCTATGTCCTTGGGAAAACACCTGACTCAAAATGGTGAAATACTGATGGTTTTCAGAGAGCCTTGGTGTTCCTGTTTATAGCCGTAGGGAAGTTATATTTAAATTTCAAATAATTCTGGCTTAAACATGTATATAAATGTACGCTTTGTCATAAGATATTGTCCCAAAAGTTAGAAAATTTCTAAAAAAAAAAAAAAATCCTGTCTTAAAATCTGCGGGGGTTCTTTCATTATCTAATGCAGGCCAGTTAGTTATACGTCAGCTTAAACACCTAAATTCAGCCAATCATATACAAAAAGGTAATTTGTCAATCAATTCTACACCAAACCAAGCTTTCGCTGCCCTGGCAACATCTTCGTCCCCGCTTTCCTCCTCTTAATAAAAAATGTGTGATCAAGCGGCATTCATGTTTTAAAAATATTAACATCAGCTCTTCCCCGACGGCATGGTGGGAATTTCTTAAAATGACAAAGTCATCACCCATGCAGTCGTACACCCATCTGGAATAACTCTGACATTCAACAAAACAATAATATGATAAACTTTCCGTACTGGAAGAATAAAGGTATTACATATTTGGATCATTTATTTGAAGGAACGGAGTTTATCACATTTGCTAGATTAAATTTGCAATATGGCATTAACAAAAATAAATTCTTAGAATATGAACAAATTAAAGCTATAATTAGCTATAATTAGAAACAAATCTAACCATATTGATGGATTATCAGTCAGTTTTGAACAAAACATCTGGGCTCAGATATGTCTAAGAACTTTTAACATGACTTGAAACCCCAATTTACAATTATTACAATACAAAATCCTCCACAGAGTGCACTATACAGATCAAAGATAATTCAAGATGGGTTTTGCACAATCTAAGATCTGTCCACAGTGCACAGGCAATCATCTTGATAATTTTATTCACGCGTTATGGTTATGTAAACCGGTTCAGTGGTTCTGGGTACAGGTACGTAAGGACTTATCACTGTGTCTGGGTTGTACCCCTGGTGCAGGCTTCGTCCGGGGTGGGGGTTCTGCATGGTGTGTCCCCCACTCCAATTTTATTTTGCATTTTAGGCACTTCGATCTACAACATTTTCACAACACACATCTATGTAGGGCATTGTCTGGAGAGGGGGTGGGGTGTGGGGGGGACTTTATTTCTCACCACGGTCGGCTCCCCCAGCCGCTCTCACATTTAGACATTGAGGGTTCTGGGTTGTCGATTGGGGGGGGATTGCGATGGCATCAAGACAATTATTCTTATTTCCACATCGCCAAACAGGACACTGTTAAAAAATGTATGACGGAGGAGAATCATCCAAGTCCTCCGACACAGAACTCTCCTCCTCTTGCATGTTTCCGCTGTCCATAGCGTTCCTTGACAGTTCCTTGACTTTGTGCCAATGGAATTTCCCCTTGGGAACCTACTAGCACTAAGTTACTAACTGGTTAGCAAGATGCTTCTGAGATACCGGCAACAGCCAAACTTGCTTGCGAACCTTCTGCCACATCAAACTGATGACTTTAAAGCGACCTCGCTTCTGTCAGCCTGCCCAGGGAAGCTGTGGATAAAATGTTATAAAAAGCATGAGATTAATTATCACTAAGATTTTAATGATACTCAGCTAAAGATTTCCATAAATTCTGATAAATGTTACACTATGGTGTTGTGTTAACTTTTAAAGGAGAAGTCTGGTCAGCAAGTAAGAATCAATGGATTATTATCTATACCTAAAACTAATACGTTCACGATGATGTAAGGAAATTAGTGTTAATGGGTAAAAGAAAAGTAAAAATAATTTTTGTCGCAATCAC